GGTGAAAGGGAAAATGTCACACAGAGAATGTGATTCCACGAGCAAAGGTCTGGAAGTGAGAGGAGAGTTGTGGGTTGTGGTGGGGGATGTAAGGAGAAGACAGTTGGCCTGGGCAGGAGAGTCCACCCATTAGAGCAAGTATGCATGGGTAAGCCAATTGTCTCTAGGTACATTGTACAAAGGAGCTTCATCATCCAAATACCCTTTCTCGGTGTCTGGACCCTCCCTCCCTGCTTCTGAATGTTCAGACTCTGGGAAAGGGTAATACAGAACAGGAACAGGTGTCAACTGCTAAGCCAAAATTGTTTAAAATTTCGTCTTTTTGCCAGTCCTGGGGCTTGAATTCAAGGCCTTGGGCACTGTGCCTGAGCTGCTTTTGCTCAAGGCTAACACGACCACTTGAGCAACAGCTTCATTTCCAGCCTTTTCTGTTTATGTAGTACTGAGGAATGGAACCCAAGGCTTCATGCATTGTACCACTAAGCCACTTTCCCAGCCCAAATACTATCATTTTTAAGTGAATTTCATTCTATGAATTTTTACTGACCACTTCTTAATTTGCTCATAATTAAGTCAGCAGAGACCAGAGGCAGTTATTGAAAAGTCTTTTCTGGAACCAGGTGAGAACTGAAAGACCAAATGCCTACTTTTAGAATACCCACAAAGGGATTTTCCAAAATGTGCAAGGCTTGTTTCATACCTCAGGACTTGAAAGAAAAGCCATCTTGAGCATCTGCAGATGTAGCCCACAGAGTGCTGATAGCTCTGCTAGTAGGTAAGTGTGCATTTCAGGTACAAGATGTACACTAGGCAGTGCTAACTGTCCTCTACATATACTTTCCTAGATGCCCCATTTGTTCCAGATAGGGTAGAGAGGGAGCAGGTTAACTGACACAGCTTCTGAATTATCCAAAGATGCTCTCTGTCATCCACCCCTTCCTCCCTCCCCCCCCTCCCCACCACAGAAAACAAGGAAAAGCTTCCTTAATCAGGAAAACAGTACAGTGGGGAGGTACTAGGAGACAAGGTCCTCAAATATTAAAACATAGCCTACTAAAGTAATGTCCAAATATCCACAAGGGAGAACACATGGAAATGTTAGAAATATGATCATCCATGGTATCAGCAGTGTAAGCTGAAACATGCTATGCTTCTATCTGTTCTTTGACAATGTGAATATTATATACTTTTCACTCATTAGAAGTTGAAATTAAAAAATAGTCTTTATCTCACAAGGAGATGAACCCCCGATTTGTAGATTTTGATTCCCTCCTCCAACAATTTAATTCCTCTGACTGTACCTCAGCTGAGTCAGCCTTTGATATAATTTCAAGTGCTCTAGAATCACCTCCACTTACCTTTGAGCCTCACTTGAAATGCTGTATGGTTCACAATTCTTTTCTATCAAATCATTCTACTTCAGGCATCTCTTGTTAAAACTGTGAGCATCCCTACCTACCTCCTGAATTTGTGTGTGTGTGTGTGTGTGTGTGTGTGTGTGTGTGTGTGTGTGTTTCCATCATGCGGCTTGTACTCTAGGCCTGGGCACTGTCCCTGAGCTCTTTCACTCAAGGCTTGCAATCTACCATTTTGAGCCACAGTGCCTGCCCTTTTGGTTTTCTGGTGGTTAATTGGAGATAAGAGTCTCACAGACTTTGCTGCCCAGGCTGTCTTCCAACTGCAATCCTCAGATCTCAGCCTCCTATGTAGTTAGGATTACAAGCATGAGCAACACTGGTGCAACAGCCTCCTGAACATTTTAACTTGCTGTCCTGTTGAAAAAGGAGAATAGGGTCTCAGGGAAGGGTTTTCTCAAGAGTACAATTTTAGAAAAGAGAGAAATGTCTAAAGCACCAAGTACCCCCCAGAGAGACCAGGCATTACCTGGTGGAGCAAGGATAGGTGCAAAGTGGAGCCTGTAGGGTAACTATAGGTCCCTAGAGTTGTGAGTAAATAAAGCCAGGATGGCAACAGGCTTATTCTGCATGTCATAAAGCTCTGCACAAGAGTATCTGTTGTGGGGCCTGGGATGGAGGAAGCCATGAGCAACTGGCATTGCTGGGAAGAAGGCATTGCAGAGAAGTTTCTTGGCAAAGTGCCATGGCTGCTCCTATCAGCTTCTGGTTCTGGTATTTCATCTGAGTAGAAATCATGTTCATCCACCAGGAGCTTTGAATACTACTCAGATGCTGATGGTGCTGCACCAGGCCCAGAAGATCTGATGCTAAAAATACAATCTGATTAGCTCTCCCTTTGCGGGGAGTTGGTGCGATATTCTTCTAGCTCTGAGAGAGACTGAGATCATTCAGAAATTTGCAAGAACATCTGTTAATAACACTAATACATTATTGCCTTCTATTGTCTTGGCATTTTCGTCGACAGCACAAAAGTAATGGTAGGAAAATTTGTATTTTAATAAAAACAATAATCACTATTCTTCATTACCTTCCAATGAAAGAGGAGAAAAGACCTTTTTTTTTTTTTTTTTTTTTTACTAAATAATATCCTGAAATTGTTATAGACTGGAGGATGCTAAGAAGAATGAGGCAGTAATGTGCTTCATGGGATTGTGGATGGATTGTGGAACCAATGCCTTGAAAAAGAAATTAATGGAAAATGGGTGAAAACTTGAATGCCTGTAATCTTGCTAATAATATTTGCAATGCCAAGATTGTCAGTACTATTTGATAAAGGCACTATTTCAATGTCTAAGATGTTAACATTAGAAGGAGCTGGGTGTCAGTAATATAGGCATTCTCTGTAATATTTCTGTGAGTTTTCTGTGAAATAAAATTATAAGGGATTGGAGGTATGGCTCGGGTGATTGAGCACCAGCCTATGAGTGAAAGCATCAGATGCTGAGTTTGAGTCCTGGTCGCAGACAAAAAAAAAAAAAAGGAGAAAAGAAAAATCACAGATTTAGAAGAAAATTATGAACTTAGTGAAGCACTAAAAAGTTGTTGATTTAACTTTCAGCATCTTATATTTTGTGTAGAGATGCTTGTCTTGAGTCAGACTTCTTTTATAATTGAACTGCAAGCTAACCTAGCCACTCTTCATGGAATACTATTTTGTTAAAGGACTCATAGCCATATTAGTATTCAGATTTCATTGTTTGATGTTTTTCTCAAAAATTAATGAAATAAGCTTGACTCAATATCTTTAAAATAAGTTTTTATTGTGAAAATACTATACAGAGGGGTTACAATTACATGAGCAAGGTAATGAGTACATTTCTTATCAAGTATTGTTGCCTCCTCCTTTGTTTTTCCCCTACCATCCCTTCCCTCCCACCTCTTCAACTACACTCTCCCTCCCTCCCCCTTCCCCCACCCCCTGCCTAAATTGTAAAGTTTGTTTTTCAATATAGTGTCTTGTACATCTCATTGTTGCAGTGGGTCAACCTGTAATATTTTTATCAGTGATAAAAATTGAGCATTCACCAGGTATTGGTGCCTCATGCCTGTAATCCTAACTACACAGAAGGCTGAGATCTGAGGGTTGTGCTTCAAAACCAGCCCCAGGAAGGAAAGTCTGTGAGACTTTTATCTCCAATTAATCACCAGAAAACCAGAAGTGGAACTGCAGCTCAAAGTGATAGAGCACTAGCCTTGAGCAAAAGAGCTCAGGGACTGCCCAGACTCTGAATTCAAGCCCTACAACTGACAAAAAAAAAAAAAGTTTTAAATTGAGCTTTCAAGTGAAAAATTGGAATTTTTGAAAACTTGAATTTGCTACTGTAGATTTGACCACTTCTCAATACTTCAAGAGTTTCATTAAAAAAAAAGTTTCATGATGAGGTTGATGATAGTAATAATGTATCTAATTTTTTGTTAAATAGTGAAACATGCCAATATGTAGGATATCTAAATACTAAATGAAACAGTATTTTACAAATGACCAATGCAAGATGTTAAATAACTATGCATTTATAAACAATCTAAATTATAAGATAGATCTATGGATTTTATGAAACTACCAATAGTTTTACTATTATGTTTCATATTCTGCCTTGCAACTAATATTTAGGAAACTTCTAGTTGCTCATTCATTGTTTATATTTAAATAGAAATCTGTTTCCTTTTGTCACTAGGAAGCCTACCAATATTTTTGCAAATTTTATTCTTGAAATTGCTGTAGGAGAGTCCGCTTAGTGGCTTTATCTATAGAAACCCAATTGGTGTCTACAGAGAATTGAAAACTTTCTATTGTAGGTAATTTACATTTGGTGTAAAAAGTGTTGTAGGCAGAGACTTAATTTTCCTTTACATTTCCTCTCAGGCTGGTGCTCTGGTGCTCTGCATATTTTTGTGCATTTCACTGAGAGAGTGTCAGCCAGGAATAGGACCTACTACAGGTGAAGATATAGACTGACATGGGTAGTTTCCGTCCAGAACATCTGTTCCTGTTATACAGAGAGTCTTGGCAATCACCTGATCAAATTTGAGAGGGTTGGACTCAGATATGGGGTCTTCTAGTAAGGAGATGTGGGCAAAAGTCAAAGAGCAGAACTGCAAGTATGTATAAACAGAAGCCTTAGTAAGTAGAGATGCAAAAGTGTGGAGGTGGCTGCTGTATAAGAATTATTCGAGGGGCTGGGAAGGTGGCTCAGTGGTAAAGCGCTTTCCTTGCATGCCTGAGGCCCTGGGTTCGAATCCTCAGCACCACATAAGCAAAAAAGAAAAAAGCCGGAAGTGGCGCTGTGGCTCAAGTGGTAGAGCACTAGCCTTGAGCTGAAGAGCTGAGGGACAGTGCCCAGGCCCAGAGTTCAGGCCCCACGACCAGACCCCCCCCCAAAAGAAAAAAGAAGCTCACGGGCAGGGCCCAGGCCCTGAGTTCAAGCCCCAGGACTGGGGAAAAAAAAAAGAATTATTCGAGATTAGCAATCCAAATATTTCAGCTCTCTTAATATATCAGCATAGGCCAGAACTCCACAACTTAGGAAGATTTTCTTCGCCTAACGAAAGATTAAAAAATACGTATATGTCTAACTGGGATTCCGAGCTGGGGTTATTTCTGGCGCTGGCTTGACTCCAAGAAGGCATCTGCATTGGTGACCAGTGGTGACAGCGGAACCAGGTCTGTCCCAGCCGCTGCCGCAGCCCCGGAGCGCCCACCGCAGGCTGGCGGCGGAGCTCCCGCATCCCAGCATCACTGTTGACCTCCACAGTGAAGGAAGATGAGTGAGTCCAGCTCCAAGTCCAGCCAGCCCTTGGCCTCCAAGCCAGAAAAGGACGCTACTGAGAAGCTAGGCCGGCGGGGGAGGGGGGGAGCAGGCCATGCAAGCAGCCTCCGAAGGAACCCAGTGAAGTGCCAAGGTCTAAGAGACTTCGGGGGCCCACCAGAGGGAGCAAAAACAAGGGTGCTGCCGGAAAACCATCACAGCTCCAGGGAGGAGACCAAGGGGCAGACCCAAAAAACTGGAGAAGGAGGAAGAGGGCATCTCGCAGGAGTCCTCGGAGGAGGAGCAGTGCCGACTGCACCCTGGCCAGGAGCAGCTTCCCTCTGGGACTGTGCAGCTTCGTCCAGCTCCCACAGCCCCCTCCCCTAATCCCCCCAAACTGCCTCCTGTCCCCTTGCGCCCTCCCCACGCACACTACAGCACACCAGCGCTGCAGGGCTCCTGTGGCGAGTGGGGAGTGCTTTCCTCCACCTCCCAGCGCCCTTCCAGCCATGCACACCTGCCTCTCCCAGACAAGGCTAACTTCCCACTTAGCCGCAGCATGCACCTGCTGCACCCCCCACTCCCTTGTGGAGAAATTGCTCTCTGAGCTCTTGCTTGGGAACTTGCTCTGCTCCTCCACTGATGCCTCTGGCTTCTTAAAGGGGCCTGGGAGGGCTCCCCTGGCCTTACGGGGGGCCCATGCCCCATCCATTTTGACATGCCCACTCTGGCTATACTGGCATCAACAGGGGATGCTCAACTCCCAGCCAAACTGTCCCCAGCGGCCCACACTGCTCTCCCTCACCTCCTCTGCTCCCCTGCACTGGGTTGAACAACCCCTTGTGGGGAACAGGTAAGAGGGCAAGAGGTGGGCCCCCCCCCAGCTTTCCCATGGGATCTAGCATCCCCACTTCTGCTCTAGGCGGTTCTCCTCATCTGTGGGGCACTAATAAGGAGCTCGCCCTGCCTACCCACTCCCTTGCCTGCCCACACCCCTCCCCCAAGGTTCTGGTTCCATCTTTTCCTCTGTTCACAAACTACCTCTGGACAGTTGTGCTGATTTTTTTTTGTTGTGCAATGTTTCATTCATTGGCTGCTGCTACCAGCGCCAAACATTCAGTTCATCATAGCCTCCCATTCAGCCCACATCCCCCTCCCCCAGGATACTTCATGGGGGAAGGCGGTCTAGGGCACAGCAGGCTGGGTTGCAGACCACCCCAATCCCAGGGAAGGTAGGATCCTGCCCCTAGGATACTGCAGCTGAGTTGGGGGGGGGGTTCCATGTGGACTGTGTGAAGAGTGTAGGGGCCACTGTCTCCCCTTGTCCTGTTGGGGAGGGGTGGCCGTTACTTGTCCCAGCCTGGGGCTCTCCCTCTGGTTTCCTATTTGCAGTTACTTGAATAAAAATATCCTTGTCTGGAAAAATATGAATATAAAAGTGTTCTTTATCTCAGAGTCTTTGTTTCCATTTTAAGGTTTGGTGTCACCTAAACACATTTGTCACACTGACCTTGCCCTATTGAACACAGCCCTACCACTTTTTCTTTCTTTTTTTTGCCCTACCATTTTCTAAGAAGAGACAAAAAATACCTACTTTTCTCCTTCAAATATAAAGAACAAATTTTCCCATGTTCAATTTTATTTTTAGCTCTTTTAGGGAAAGATAAGCCAACAAAGAAATATAATGATTGGCGTATTATTTTTTAAATGAATTTAATAGCAAATAATTTGTTCCATCTGGGAAAGATTGATCACATTTTTATCAACTAGACACAACTCAGAATACATTACTTCCAGCATTAAAAAAAAAAAAGTTTATTTAGAGCCACATCACTCCAGCCATTCCCCATCAGTGTCATTTCCTGACCCTGCAGTAGGGCTAAGCTCTTAGAAACTTAATTCCCTCAATATCAAAGATATTTTTGTTCGCCAGACACATCCTAGAGTAGCTTTCAAGTAGTTTCTGAAGACTGTTGTGATTTTACTATGGTAATAGTTCACACTATACTTTTCAGCCAGTGGCAAAAACATCAGCCAGTGTCATGTCTCAACAATTAAACTTTCTGAGTGCTGCTCTTGTAGCACACAGACACTTGTGTGAGAAGGAAGACTGAAAGTAAACAAAAGAATAAAGTTTGGGATAGTCTTAGGTCCTCATTTTGATCCTCTCCACTCTAATTTGCTTAATATAGGAGATCCAGAATAGAAGAATGAAAAGGATGGAAAGAACAGACATTTGTACTCTTATTCATGGCATTACTTACAATAGCCAGAAGGTGCAAGTGACCCAAAATGTCCATCAACAGGTGAATAAAAAGAAATAAAATACATTCAATGGAGTATTATTCAAGCTAAAAGTGAAAGGAATTTCTGACACATAACAGGATGGACATACCTTGAAGACATCATGGTAAGTGTAATAAACACAAAAAGACAATGTGGCAAATGAGGTCTGAGTCCCCTTCTATGATGTACCAGAATAGGCAAATTTATAGAGACAGAAAATAGAAGTTACCAGGGGCTCAGGAGAAGGGAGAATTAGGAATTAGTTTTCAACCAAAGCAGAGCTTCAGTTTGGCATGTTGAAAAGATTCTGGAGATGGATAATGATGCTGGTTGCATAAACAATGTTCATATATCTAATGTCACTGAGGTGTACATTTACAATGATTCAAATAGCAAGTTTTATATTAAGCATGTTTTACCATCTTCAAAAGGAAGGAAAATATGCTGTACTTTTGCTTGGCTACAACTCTTTTTCTAAAGAAAGACTTCTGGATGTCACCACTGATAAAGCAATGGTTAGTGATCAAATGACCCAGTGATGTGCTGATAAATGTTCAACACTTGGCTATTTCCTCAATTTCTTGTGTTACCACCCATAGTACAACAACTGTAGGCTCAACAATTTTGAAGTTTAATCTGCATTATTAATATTTCTTCCACTATATTGTTCTAATCCAATAATTATTCAAATGATTTTTGGGTGCCAGTCCTGGGGCTTGAACTCAATGCCTGAGTGTTGTCCCTGGTCTTTTTGCTCAAGGTTAGAACTCTACCACTTTGAGCCCCTGCTCCACTTCCAGCTTTTTGGTGGTTAATTGGAGATAAGAGTCTCATTCATTTTCCCACCTATGCTGTCTTCAAATTGCAACCCTCAGATCTCAACTTCCTGAGTAGATAGGATTACAGGTGTAAGCCATAAGCACCAGGCTCAAAAGATATTTTAAGACTTGATTTATAGTGTTTTCTTATTTGTATGGATGAGTAAATATTCCCACAATGGCTGATTACAACCCATTAATGTGAACTCACCTAACAACAGAGTTAGGAAGGTAACACACCACTGTATGGTATTTCCATCCTAGGGATATGAGCAATCTTCAGAACACTGAAGAACAGAAACTATACTATGTAGGAAGTAATGTATTTTTGGTGTCCTTTATGTGTTTTAATATTTATTTCATTATAGATCTTATATAATTTTATTTTTTCATAACCATGTCAAACAACTTAGGTCACAAATTTTCTGAAATTTAGTGTTTGGTTCTGTCAAACCAGTACACACCAAGTTTGGAAAAGCATGACTCCACAGTTTTCCTGATTCCATGGGTTTTGTTAGTTTTCAGATGCAGCATTCTCTGAATAGGATTTCTTGCATGTTCTGCTTTCTCCTCTGTTTCCTCTCTGATGCTCTTTGGTATTGTCATTTGTGCATTTCTGTTTCTCTTTGTTTCTTTTATTCTTCATGCAGCGTTGACTTTATCTCCACTGGTTTATTTTCCTTTTCTCTTTTCTTTCTCCTTGATTTTCTCCCGTTCTTTCTCTTCGTTTTCTGTTACAGAAGATATAAGTTTAAATATCAGACCACAGGAATGCATGCCAGAGGATTAACAGGAAACCTATAGCAAGCTCAGCCTTTCTGGGACATTTTCTTTTGTTTTCTCACAGTGTTCCACATTTTAATGAATTCAGCAATCAGAAGAGAGGGAAACAACTCTACAGGCTCTATCTTCCTTTTCTTTTTTCTGCAGTGCTTTGGATGGAGCTTGGGACTTCATGCCTGTTAGGTAAATACTATACTACTGAGCTACATGAGATAATCTCAGGTTGGATCCTTGGAATAGTCGCTTACTATATGGATTTTCATTATAAGAAAAGCATACCAAAAAAGACTGTGGCATAATTAAGCCCTTTAATTAAGGCAATAAAATGGTACAAACTTCTAGAGTATATATCTTAAAATTTCTTTTTCAAAAGTCTCAACAATATCTGATTCTCAAATATGCAGTTTGTGGACCTTTAGAAAGAAAAATATAGATCTTTTAAAAGAAAAAAATCATTCTTATTAACTTTTGTGCAGCTTTAAGTTATTTTTATTATGTTACTTACAGGGTACAAATACATACTAGACATAAATATAATCCTCATATAATCATAAAAGCATGAACTAAAATATAAAAACCACCAAAATAATTAACATTTTAATAAGCAACATAACTTAATGTGATGAATATTGTTCTTAAAAGCAAGTTGCCACTGTTGGGTTAAATAGCTGGTTTCTGGTTTGTTCATTTGCATTCATCTTTGTTCTACTGGTGACAATAAACGGCAAATTATGATCACTGTTTTCCCCAGCCCTTACCATCTCTTTGCTGCTGCACAATATGAGGGAGTGAAATAAGTATTCTCTCATATTTGCCACTACTAATAAAACAGAAAAACAACAACAAAAGCTTTTTCATCAGATAGTTTATAAGTATCTTTGGTAGTTTATTATCTTAAAAGTTGCCTGGGAGTCAGCTCACACCTCTAATCCTAGCTGCTCAGGAGGCTGAGATCTGAGGATCACAGTTTGAAGCCAGCCTGGGCAGAAAAGCCCATGAGATAAGCTACTGAGAAAAAGCCAGAAGTGGTGCTGTGGCTCCAGTGGTAGAGTGCTAATCTTGAGCACAAAGAGGCTTAGGGAGTACCCCGGCCCTGAGTTCAAGCTCCAAGACTGGCAAAAGAAAAAAAGGCCTGAGGAAAAATGTTAACTTTATTTTCCCTTAACTGATTTTATCTCTTGAGCCACTATTTCTACCCAACAGTGGGAAATGTTATCTTACCAATTCAGGGTAAACCTAGTCACTCCTGAAGAGTTCTTACTTATTTTTCTACTGGGAGATGATTAAGTTGCAGGGGGCTAGTACCTTGTAGGAGAGGAATCCTGGTACATGCCCAGTGACTTCCTCTGTATTAGATTCTTCTGTGATAAACTGGTCCTAAGGATGCTGACAGGCATTATTGGCCCTGCCTTACTGATGGGAGATCAGTGATCCCCACTGGCCAGTGTATTCCCCAGAACCAATCCAGCCAATGCAAGTGACATCAGGAGGTCTGTAAGGGAGTCCAACTCTCCCGGATGTGCTTATTTCTGCTGCTCTGCTGTCACTTCTGCCTACATAATGTATAGTATCTGGTAGTAATACATCTTCTCACAAGGTCGCCAGAAAAAGTGGCACACAGGCACCTCTGGCCTCAGGTCTTCAGCCTAAGCTGGCATTTTTACTATACCTTTCCCTCTAGTTTCTCTGTGTTCAGCCCAGGAAGCATCTACCGCAGGAGG